AGGTGGAATTGGAATGGCAGACCAGGTCCTTGTGGGAACTGGATGGACAAGACTGTGTGTTTARGTGACCATGGATTCAGTGGAGATGGAAATAGGGTTAGGAATGCCACCTTTTAATTAAAGATTGTTGTCTAACCATCCTGTGGATCAGCTTTATCAATTTGCAGTTGCATTAAAGGTCCCAGTACTACTAGAGATTTGTTTTGGCCAGGTACCCCTTTCTCCCAGCAGGATTTCCCTTTGGATGGAAGCCCTTTCCTGTTTGGCTTACCCTGCTAACACAGGGAAAGTGAACAACAGGCTCATCTGCAGCAGGACGAGTTCAGCACAGAACCATACACCAAAGGATGGCTGGAATCTTCTGAGRCCCAAACAAATCCTAGCATGATGGGACAGACACCCAGCTAATAGTCTGAGCTAAACAGGGCTTTGAATATTTTTATTCAGAAAAATAATCTGCATGGGGTTATCAATCCTGCATTTGTTCTGTGCCGAGTTTCGGTCTGAGATGCCTCCAGGCAGATCTGTAATTAAAGGCAACTTTCCCTATTCCTTATTCCTTGTTTATTCAGCCCTTTACTAGACAAAGTAGAGACAGATCTATCCCAGATGAAGGCCTGAGGTGGAGYTTCTTTGCCCTTAAATACTTTGATAGAGACACTTATTGTCAGATAAATTGCAACCTGTGCTTTAGGTAAAAGACCCAGTGCTGTTGTGGAGGTAACATAGAATGGTTTGGGCTGGAAAGAATCTTAAAGATCATAAAGATCCAACTTGATCCATGGAGAGGGATGCCCTTGTTCAGGTCAGGTTGCTCTAAGTGCAGATGGGACATCCACAGCCTCTCTGGAAAACCTGTGCCAGAACCTCCCCACCCTCTGGAGTTGGTGTCCAGCCCAGAAAATGTTGGAGGTGCTGAGCTGCAGCAGGGAGACACACACAGACATCAGGATTTACATCTTTCCCTCCGCACAGCCCTGGGCAAAGGATTGCTGTTGGCTTTTCCTGTGTCACTGAGGGTGCCAGGATGGGAGGTGAGGCTCTGCCTGCTGGCTGTGGGGCTGGGGGAAGGCTGGAGCTGCTGGGAATTGCCCCACACACACAGCACGATCTGCCAYGTCCTCTTTATCACTGGCAGAACAGGCCTGAAATGACGCTGCTCCCCGAGCTGCTTGCATAATGGAAGGTCTTGATGAGCTGATTGCTGTGTTACTGAAAACAAGCTGTAATCTCATTAGCAAATTGTGGCAGTGACATCTTAGCACAGGCAGACCTTCAGCTGTGCCATCTCACGTGTGCAAAATCCTTGATGAAATGCCTCAACAGGAACGTGAGTGGTGGCTGAGGTGGAACAGCCTGGGCTGAAGGCACTGTGCCTGCTSCCAGGGGATGGATGCTCTCAGTGAGTGTGGGAGCAAATCCCTGATATGAGATGTGCAGATGTGTGTCAGCAGTGCCACACTGCTGCTGGGACTGCTTTAACCCTGCCCCTTTAGCTGCTTGGGATGAGCAGAGCCAGGGAAAGGAAAGCAGGGTAGGAGGCTGTTGGGTAAGTTACTGTTCACTGCCACCRCAGTAATTTGATAATTGGACTCTCTTTGCTTTTATGGCCTGCTCTGAGGAATCTGACCCAGCCGTGTGCTTTCCATTTTCTCCTGAGACTAAGCTTTAATAGCTCTTTCCTGCATATTGGTATGGGGAGAAGAGAGGAATTGGTGGTGTTTGTGTACAAAATTTGGGTGACTGTAAGCATAACTAACCCAAGCATTAAAGATTTGTAGCAGGGCTTCGTTCTGGTTCACACCTTTGGTAGAAAAGTCGTGGAATTTTTGCTCATSAGGAATCTCCTGCACAACTTTACTCTCTGTGCTGGGAGGAGAGTTTTGTGYAGTTCTGTGTGTCTGAATGAAATAGCTGTTTGTGTGTATTTCATGGAAGGTTTTGATAGTGAGTAGATTGACTTCTTCCATGCAGGAACCTGTTTTTATATTTGCATTGATAACTTTGAAAGGCAGAGGCTTAAACCTCCATTAAGCAAAATACCTATAGTTATATCTATATAAAAAAAATCCCAACCCTATATAAAAATGTATGACTCAGTGTTTCAGGATTTTCTCAGTTTTTCAAATACTGTCTGTTTTTTTCTGGATGCCTTTATCCCACTACATGATTTTAAACAAGAAAATATATGAACTCTGATGGGCTGTGATGTTTTGGTAATTCTTCTCTTCAGATTTAACTACACAGTTTATCATTTAGGTTTAAATTGCTTACTTAGGGTAAGAACCTGGAAGGAATGTGAGGAGAGGCTTTTTCCTGTGTGGACTTTTTCTGTAGTTTCTTTTAATTTTGCTTTTGCTCTCATCTGTTGTTTTTGAAGCTGAAGTAAATTAAAAGCAGGTAAAATGTGCGTGGTGTGACGTTAATGTAGTTTTGTTCTCTGAGTGTCTTTATCTCAAAGTACTGCAACCAGCTGATAGACTAATCTCTCTCTTTTTTTTTTTTTTTATTTTGTCTTTCAAGGTGCTTGTGTTTCATGCTCATGGTCTGGATTGTTCTGAATGATGCTGTGACTTGGTGTGCTGCTCCAAACTTGCTCTTGAGGTTGATTCAGACTTTCCGTGTGTTTCTTTGTTCCSTGGGTGCCTTTGTGCTTGCTCCAGATCTTTGGGAATGTCTTTAAAGACCAGGTGCTGCTTGTGAGRCAGGACTGCCTTGTCTGCCTGAATTCCTCTGTTCTTGTTGCCTTTTCCTCATCTTAGTTTTTCTKGAAGCAGTCTTAAAGRAATTCCATTTTCTTGGCTTRCACTTGTTGCCTCCTGGCYTGTTTGAAATGCTTGAGARGGAACCTTTTTATTTATTCATCTGYTASAGAGGTATTTCAATGAGGGAGGGATGTTGAGCAAGCAGRAAAGTAGCCCAGGCAGCTCCAGGTCCTTTGAGAAGCTCTCTCATGGGAGTGATTCAAGCCTGGAGTGAGCATAGCAACSGTGTTTATTGTATTTTGGTATTCAGGAGGGTGAAGAATTACATGAGTGTTTGCAACGTATTTGCAGCRTGTTGACAGTATCTAGGAACAGATCAAAAACTGCTCTGAGACTGCTCCAGCCAGGATCAGTGAGCCCCCATTCCTGAGCTGGGCATGCAGGGCTTCCAGGGATCCACGGAGGGGACACAGAGAAGAAATAATAAAAAAATTAACTGTATAAGGTCTATGGTAGCCTAATTTCTCATACTAATGAGCTTTATTAATGCTGTGAAGTCAGGCTTAGACTGAAGGTGCTACGTGAATCTTGAGCCTCATTAAACCTGGCTGTGCTCCTAACCAAGAGAAGGCTGCATTAAGATGATCAGTCTTTCCACAGCCTTTCCTTTATTCTTGTCCTTAACAACATCTTCCTGCCAGTCTCTTTTTTGTTGGGTTAATTTTTAAAGCTCCACAACCTGGTGTTTTTTGCTACGCTGACAGCATGGTGGAGTGAGCTCGGTTATTGCACCTCCTTTTTGCCCACTTGCACTGAGCCATTAACATTTTGAGCCAACAATCTCCCTTTCAATCTCAGCTGTTGCTACGCTGGCACGTCACAAGGCTGCCCTCCAGTTGACTCGGGAATGCAATGAGGAAGAACAATCTTTTAGGTGCACTCAATCTAAAATTAGCCTTCCACCTGGGCAGCTGGATCTGCAAAGCGCCGTGCACCGAGTTAACAAAAAAAAAAAAAAATGGAGCTGGGAGCAGAAAAAAAAAGGTGTTCTAAATGTAAAGGCCTCGCTTTTATGTTGTGCTCTGAGAAAACAGCTCTGGTTTAGYRCTTGTAGAGCTGGGTTTTGTGTCYTGCTGCTGCTCTGTGTGATATCAGCATCCTGCAACTCAGAGAAATCAAATTTAGTGCATCAGTAAATGGGCCATTTGGGGGAAAAAAAGTTAGGATGGCTTTAATTTGACACATAACTAGTTCAGATATGGCTTTCCTGGATAGGTTTATTGTGTGACTGATGGGGTTTTGGTGCAATAGAGTATGAGAACATCTSTATTTCCAGCTGTGGAGGGAAGCAAAGCCACTGTGGGTGGTGTAGAAGCACAAATCAGAGCAGGATGGGGTGCAACAGTTCCCTTTTGTCTGGCAAAACTCTCCTGGCACCAGAAGTCTTGATAKGGACTGAAGGTGGATCCAAACCAGCTGCTGGCAGGAAGGCCAGAGCTGAAACCTGGGCTGTGAGGACATTGTGACCCCTCTCAGGTGTCACCAGGAGTGTCCCCTAATGCCTCCCATAAATCATCCTCCACTGGGAGTGATAGCTCTCCTGGTATCGGGGCAAGTCATGCAGAAGATCTAAGTCAAGAGCCACCCTTTGGAAAGAGCTGAAGATTTTATTTATGTTGGCTTTAAAGGATGTTTTTTTTTGCAGGCAGGCATGGGGAAGGGATTGTCACAGGGCACATCTGCTGGGTGCAGGCTGCTGGTCAGGTCTGGGGCAGGTTCAGGTCTGGGGCAGGTTCTGCTGGAGCTGCAAACCCAAATTCTCTTCAGGTGTTGATCCATGGGGATTTCTGGGCTGTTATGGGAACCAGCTCTAAACTGAGCTGAACACAAAGGAAAGGTTCATTTCAGAGCTGCTTTAATCTGTGTAACCTGGATCCCACAGGGGTACAGGGCAGTAAACTAAGGCCAGAAGAGTTGTTTCGTGCCTGATGAAAGGCCATAGTAGAGCAATTAGGAGAGTTTGTAATTGTTCTTCAGTTCAAGTTCTTCTGCCAATGTTTCTGATACGGGGAAAACCAACTCGCTCTAAATAACCTGAATTCTTCCTTCCACTTCATTTCATGTTGCAAGTGATGAGTTCTGTTGACTGGTTCATAACAGAATCCTGCTGAGATATCATGACAAGGTATTGAGTAGTCTTTTTTTTTTTTTTTTGCACTAGCAAGGTCTCTTTGTTTAAATCTAATCTTATGAGATGGCTGTCAGCAAATGTGAGAAAATGGAGAGGACTACTGAAGATGAAGAGCTCATGTGAGGGATGCAATCTAAATGTTTAACTTCTAATGGGTAAAAATAGAAGTAAAAAGTTGTAAAAAGAGGTAATAATTTGGGTTGGTAGTTGCAGTGGAACTGAGGGAGTTGGACACAAACTGTTCAGGTAAAAAAAATTCTTAGATTGACTATTTAAGTGCTCCACCATGCTATAAATCAGCATCTCAAGTGTTATTTGGATATGCAGAAATAAGAMAGTGAGGATGGGGCTTAACAGGCAGATCACCTCTGTCCTTGCCTGCTGGTGGCAAAATAGCTCAGTTCATTGCTTCACTTTTGTGTTTCTGTAAAACAAACAAATCAGACCCTTTTTTCTTGTTCCCAGCGCTGTGGGTATCTCCAGATGTTCCTGGAATGTGGTTGTTGCTGTGGTTGTGCCCTCCAGAAGAGAGGGGCTGCCTGTGTGTGAGGTGTGAGTGTGATGTCCGTGCACGTGTGTAAACACCAGGGCAGAATGGCCTCCAGCATTTGTCTCTCAGCTGTTACATCTTCAAATTTAGCTCTACAGGACTAGAAATGTTTCTCCTAGCTGAAGCAAGTTAATGCTTTAGCATTAACTTTCCGGAATGAAAGGGGCTAAAACTTTCCAGATATTTTGCCATCTTTTTGACTCTTAGAGTTAGGAGGTTAAATTGTATTCCGTGGGTGTTTTGTTGTCATGGTTTTCAAGGTGTAAGACTCAATCTGCTTTTTTTTTCTTTCTTTTTTTTTTTTTTTTTTTGTGAAACTAGAAAGGAATTTTGGCTTGTGTTTGGTGGTGGTGGCTGCTCATGGGTGTTTCTTGAACCACCCACAGTCAGTTCCACCTCTTTAATTTTGTATTCATGAGTGGAACCATCGAGGTGTTCTCGTAACTGTGTTCCACTTATGCCATTTTTTTTGCTAAGTCTTTGAGAAAGATGTGTAGCAGTGTTTAAATGGCTTGGGACCCTTTGAAGACAATTATAACTCCTTTTGGGAGAGGCACTGTTTTATGGGGCGATGAGAACCTCACAGCACAGGGGTTGAAAGCTGAACGAGGCCACTGCATGAATGAATCAGCAGGGTGGTAAGAAAATTCCATATGCCTGGTTTACCCAGGACACTTTGTGTTGTTTCACAGCTGAAAAATCTGGTCTGGGCAGGAAAAGGGGGCCTCAGCCCGTGAGTTGTTTGTTGTGTGAGCTGAGGTGCAGGAGATGGAGCTGTGCTGGTTTTTGAGCACAGCCCTGCTGGGTTTGGGCTGCTGTGGTGGGAGCTGCCAGGCTCCTGTCTCTGCCAGCTCCTCAGAGCCACATGTGCTGAGTTTGGGACATCCTGGGTGGCTGTGAATGCACAGGGTGTCTGTGCAAGGGTGCTGGGAGCTTCTGGAGCGAGTGTGGGGCGGTCAGCGGTGTGTTGGAGGTCACCAGAGGGACAGCTCTGAAAGGACTGTGTGGATCCTGTGTCCTCTCACATGTTGGGGCAGCAGTTTTCCCCATTCTCCAGGGGATTTAGTCCCAGCTTTGTGCTGCTAAACATGAACCAAAGGAAGCTGAGCACTCACCTCTGTGTGCTTTGCTGCAGTCATTAATCAGCGCGGGCTGGCCGCGAATGCCGTGTGCCATACGTGTCGCTAAATCTCTCTCTCCTTATCTCTTCCTCTCTCAGCGCCAGAAATTGCCCTTGGAAAATGAACCAGCTTCCTGCGAAGAGTCCTTTGGCATCCTCAGTATCAGAGAGCGCCAATTCCAGGCTAGAGGCTTTGGACAGCTTGTCAATGGACAGTTTTTGGCTGGAAGTAGAGAACATTAAACAGAGCGCTGAAGCCGAGCAGGAGGAATGCGGCCTTGCAGATGTCAAAACACAGGAGGGTAGGTTGCCAAAAATGTTGGGAGTGAGGACAGGAATGTGAACATCTGAAACAGAAKATTTGCCTGTGCACCTGAATGATTSAGAAGCCTGCTGGAGTGTGGTTRGAATATTATCAGTCGATCAGAGATGGAGATATTGCTGTAATTGGGGTGGATAATGCCCGGCTGAAGGGGAGGGCTGGCCTGGTTTCGGCTTCTGAAGCAAAGCTGACTCCAGAAGTCACTCACAGGAGCACCTTCAGGGCTCCAGGAGTTTCCACAGCCCCACTGAGTGTGGGGGCTGTCAGTCCCAGAGCAGGGGGTGTGTGGTGAGCGCCCTGTGGGAGCTGGGGCTGGTTTAGAGCTTTGTTTGTGTGCGTGATTCTGGGATTCACCATGGTGGCTTTCACRGGAGCTGCTTCTGTGGAAAGCAGAYTGTTCCCTCYCTACTTCCCTGTTCAGGAAACCACAATAAACACCCAGAAAGCTGTGAGTCCATCCACGCAAGGTTTTTCCTGAACATCCTTGGTTTCTTTCTTTGGAAGGTGTTTTTAATGTACTTCTTGCAGTGCTGATGCTATCCAGTGTTTTGGAATACCTGGAACYTGGGCTAGTGATTCCAAAACTTTTGGAATACATTTCCCTTCTACAGAATCACAGAATGGCTTGGGTTGGAAGGGACCTTAAAACTCATCCTTAAAACTCATGGGCAGGGACACCTTCCACTGTCCCAGGCTGCTCCCAGCCCCGTCCAGCCTGGCCTTGGGCACTGCCAGGGATCCAGGGGCAGCCACAGCTTCTCTGGGCACCCTGTGCCAGGGCCTCACCCCAACCTCACAGGAAAGGGTTTCTTCCCAATATCCAACCTAAATTTCCCCTCTTGCAGTGTGAATCCCTCAGTGCTTGCCCTGCCACTGCAGTTCCTGATGAGCAGTTCCTTTGGATATGGGAAGTACAACATCCTGGGATGCTGGAAGGGTGATAAACACCCAGTGATCCCACAGATGGGGATCACACCTTTCCTGGCTCCATTTTGAAGAACATGTGGTAGCTGGCTCTACCTCCCTGTAACACAGATCTGCAGCCTGTGCTGCTGTTGAGCTGCCTGATGTTCAGAACACAGATATTCAGATATGTGTGTCCTGGGGAAATGTTTGTGTGACAATCCCAGTGTGCTGCTGTGCCTGGGAAGGGTCAGTAGCTCTCCTGGGGACCTTGGAGAGGAGGGTGGGAAGATCCTCATCCCTGTCTGCCATTGTTGGGAAGATGTGGTGAACATGAAGGTCTGCTGTGTAAAGGAAATAAGTTTGATTTTTGGAACTGGGAGGGATGCAAAGTGACTTGGAAAAYGAGTGCACCAGGAAGGAGCCTGGAAGAGATTGTGCCATGAGATGAAAGACTGTCTGGGATATCCTAAASACTGATATGCTGGAGGCAATTAGATTACTGTGTGTGAGCAGGAGCACCAGGAAAAGTTCTTTTAATGCTGTAGATAAATCTGTCAGGCAGGAGCTGAGTGCTTAATTGGCCACTGAAACCAGACAGACTCGAAATGATGCTGTGAGCAGCAAAGCCTTCCCCGCAGGCTGGGGTGCAGGTGGGGCAGGCTGGGGCTCCTGCTGCCTTCTCCAGAGGAGCTGAGGCAAATAAACCTTGTGCTGGGAGTGTTGGGGAGGCTTTGGGGTGCAGGGTTTGGCTCTCATGCTCCTGGTCCTCCAGCGGGGAGGCTTTGGGGCTGCTCAGAGCCACAGGCACTGCTGGCATGTGACAAATCTGCACCGGGGCAGCAGCTCCCAACTCTGTCTGGACACTGCATGGCTCAGCCTGGGAGGTGGCAGGTGACAGCAGGCACAGGGACAGTAAGGACACCATGTGCATTGCAGCAATGCTGAGCCAGCCTGGAGCGCTGTGCAAGCCCTGGTGAGGGGTGCTGTCCTGGGGAGCTGCTGTCACCCTCTGGCAGAGGGGGGACAGTGAGGAACTGCAGCTCTGGGGCAGCTGAGAGATCCTGCTGGCACCTGTGGCCTTGTTAATGGGTGGTGGGAGCACGAAGTAGCTTTTCCCTGAAATCCAGCATCGTCCCATCCATGCTATCACTGTTTGCCTGGCTCTCTCCAGGGCCTGGGCACGGGCACCCTGCCACTGAAATACCTGTTTGTGTCCTTACAGCATGGGAGCATGGCTGAGAACTGTCTGCAAAGCATGATTCTTCACCTTCAAAAGCTGGATAGGAAGTTGTGCTTAATGTTTWGTCTGAAATTGTAGGATGCTGTAGCTGCCCTTTAAATATTTGGGAAGTGAAGTCTTTGTTACGAATGCTGTTTTTGGTTAGGTTATGTTTCATGTAAGTTTTTGGAACTGGTGTTCTTCTTTTGCAAAATCATTCCTCGTTGTGCCCTCCTGAAATGCTGTTCTTTGGAACTCACAAGGCAAATCTTAGCAACCCTCCAGGCTTAGCCCTGCACCTCAGCTCCTTTGGATCTCCCCGTCCTGAGCTGTCTCTCTCCCATTTTCCCCTTTTTCCCATWAACAACCCATTTTGCTGGTTTCCTTTTGTGTCRCTGGCAAACATGAAATAGCAAACAGAGGAATTACAGTCTGGTGCTTTGGCATCAGAGGGGGCAGCAGGCCCACACGGATGTCCGATGGAGGGGCAGCTGTTGGTGTTGTGTACAAGATTAGTTTCCTGTTATGACTGGAATTGGCTAATTCCAAAATTTGCAAGCAATACACTTCACTTCCTTTAGCTCCCAAAGGCAAAATAAAGCAGAGGGTTTTTGTGTGTTGTTCTGCTGTGAAAACACGGATGTGGGACAAGGAGGTGTTCGGTGAAAAGCTGCAAGCAGGACTGTGGCTGTGCCCAGGGGATGCTGTTCCCTTTTAACTTCTGTAAACCAGACWTGGGGAAAGACAAAAAAACTGAAGACCCTGTAGGAAAACCTGATAATTTTCTAGAAGATTCATTGAGTGAAGTAATTGGCCTCAAGCTCAGCTCTATTGTGATGTGATGATGAAGAAAGTTCAGTTTCATTATGACACCTAAAATCACAAACACCGTGCTCTGAGTTTTAATTATGTCACAATAYGTGTTTGCAGGCTCCATGAGCACAGAGGCTTCTCCAGAAAAATTAAAGTATTTTATCTCTCAAGGAGAGCTGCGTGACTGTTTTTTATGGATGCAGCAATAATAAATCTTTGCCTGAGCAGCTGTGATAACTGAGGAGGTAGAAAGACAGGAAGAGTGGGAATCAGTGAGGTTGTGATKTTTCTTTTTCCCAGGATAACCTTTGGTAGGGCTGCACTGGAGCTGCCTGCAGCAAATGAATGTGGTAGATGGAATTGGAAAGATAAAGGCTTGGTGGTGCTTGCTGGGTTAAAGTTGAAGTCACCTGCTAAATTGGTTCTTTCATCTTTGAATTTCAAGTAGCTGCATTGCTCAGGGCACTTTCTCACTTGCACTTCCTTATGAGTGTATCCCATAAGAAAAAAAAAAAAAATTTCTGTGTTTGAAGTGCAACTTTATATATATTGAAGAATGAAGTGAAATTGAGGTTGCTTGAGTAATGCTGCTGTGCTGTCTCCAGGCTTCTCACACTTCCTTCTGGAACTGGAATGGTCTTTAATTTTAGTGTTGTTTTGATTAGGCCCAGACATAAAAGAAACACAMAGAGTAAAAATAACGTTTCTGCTTTTGTTGAGTGTATGGATACCAATCCTCTTAAAAAATTAAAGAAAAAAGTAAATAAAAGAGTAAAGTAATTACGCAAACAAATAGTTCAGCAACAAAATGAAATACATTTGAACTTACCAGATCAGAATCTGGATATTTAAAAAAAAAAAAAAAAAGTTGACATCTAGGCATGCATATAGATAAAAAGTAAAAGAAGCAACAAGTAATTTGGAAAGTGTGAAAGCCAAATCTGCAGTGTTGTGTGCTTTGTCTTCTCACAGAGCTTCTGTCCATTCTCAAATCTGTTGAAAGATTGGGTGGGACCAGGGAAGCTCTACCATTCCTTCTGGGGTGTCTGAATGCTGCTTGGCAGAGCTCCCCTTTGCACAGGCAGCCCAAGGAAAGGCAGATTTTTCAAGTCCACCTGACTTTCCTTCATATCCTGTCACAATCCTTGTCAAAATACTATCCAGAGCCACAATTGTGCCTTTTCTGGGAGCCCGTGTTCCTGGCAATATCTCCTCCTCCACGGTTTTTTCTTCTCCTTTTTGCTCCCCTGGGCTGAGCAGTAAGGTCAGTGTGTGCAGCTGCACCTGCCCAAGGCACCGTGTGCCCTCTGTGCCATCCCAAACCCAGCTGGGCACTTGGGAACAGGGCTGGGATTCTGACAGCAGCCATGGCTTCAGAACAAAGCAGTGCTCCCTCCCACTGAAGCCCCATTTCCACCCCACAAACACTCAGGCTCCTGTTTTGGTGCCTCTGAAACGCTGCAGCACCCAGATCTGTTCTCACTCTGCCTTTCCTGCCCCGTTTGGCAGAGGGAGAAGCCGAGGCCGAGTGGCTGCAGGATGCAGGGCTGTCTGAGCTCCTCGGGGACCCATCCTTGGACAAGGACAACCTGGTGCTGCTGTCCACGCTGACCAGGACACAGGCAGCGGCCGTGCAGCGCCGGCTGGACACCTACTCACGCTCCCGCCGCAGGAAGAACAAGCAGCCCGTGCGCGACGTGCGCGACATCTTCCGAGTGGCCAACTCCGAGGTGCGTTGGTTTCTCCCTAAAGAGTTTCTAATTTGGCTTTCCGGGTCTGGGGGTTGTGGGTTCATCCTTTGAGCTGAAAGGAAGCTGAGATTGGAGAAATTCCYGGTGTGGTGTTGAGAGGTTATCGCAGAGGCTGCAGATCCATGACCCTCCTAGGCTGGGGTAACATTCTTCTCCACAATTGTAGTGGATTCCTTCCAATGTTCAAGTGGTTTAGGTTAGGCTGTCTTTAGCTCAAACTGCTTCCACAAGCATTGGCATCTTTTGGAGCCCTCTTGTGTTTCCTTTGTTCCAGTGACATGTTAAATCACTGTTAGCCAAAACCAGAAATCACCATTCCTGAATTCAGTTCTGATAAGCCAATATTTTACAGCTGGAAATTCTGGGCAAAAACTAGCACTGCCCTTTTGGGGGGTTTTGGTTGGTTTATTTTGATTTTTTTTTTTTCTTGCCAGAGATTTCATAATCATTGGCTTTTCAGCTGTTTTCCTGCAGTTCTGCTCTTTTGGTTCTGCCTAAAACAACTTCTTTCTTATTTTTCAGGAGAAAGCAGCAGAGAAAGAGGAGTCCAGCCCAGATCCATTGTGGCACAATCTACGGACTTCAAACACCCAGAGAAGTAAGGAGGAAAGTTTAAAATGCAGAGTAGGACTGGCTGGGGAATAGGATCTGAAATAGGGCTGGAATTGGAAGAAAAGCCACACAAACACATATGTAAAAGTATATACAGCTTCTCAAATATTGTCCTTTTTTGTGTTGAGTTTTGGGGTTTTTTACATGATTTTCATACCTGTGGATTAATAAACTTTTCCAGGAATTAGTGTTGTTAGAATTGCTGCTCAAGCTGATCATTGTAACTTTTTGATAAAGCAACTGAAGGTGAAAATAAAATCAGTCTAGTAAAGATCATACGGTGAGATCTTAGAAATGAAATCTTACACGTGCAGGCGTAAAGAGAAGTTTAGCCACAGGTGTGTCCTTTAATTTAAGGCTTTTGTGTCTTAGCAGTGACCTGGTGATTGCAGCCATAATGTTATGACTTCACACTGATCACAGAATTATTAAAATTGGAAAAGATCTCTAAAATCATCCATTTCAAGCACAAACCCAGCCACCACTCTGTTCATCACTAAACCATGTCCCAGGTGTCAATCTGCCTGATTTTTGATCACTTCCAGAGATGGTGACTCCACCCCTTCCCTTGGCAGCCTCTTCCAATGCCTGACCACCCTTTCAGGGARGAGTCATCCCCTATTGATCAGTCTGTGCTATGGGGACACTGTTTTCATGTGTTTCTGAAGGATTCTTTAAAAGCAGTGGTACCAAATCTGCCTCAAACTGCTTTTTTTAGCACATTTGCTTTCTTAGCTTCCCCCTCCTGGCTTGCAGAAATTCAAGGCCATTTCTTCTCTGCAGCAGAAAGCCAGGATTACTCCTGCACGGTTCGGAATCCTGGCAAGGAGGAGCTGTTCAATATGGACATTGCCTACTCAGAACAAGCAGCTGTYCTGCTCAAGGGATCGTTCCTGTCTGAAYCCAGGAAGTTGAAGGATGGAAATGYCCTAACTGTAAGCACTGAGGGAATTTTTCTTGTTAGAACTTACTACTCTCTTCTTAYCAGGAGGGCACAAGATATTTTGATTCTATGATCAGCTCCTGGAAACACCCTCTACAGTGAGTGTTGTGATGGGTTTGTGTCAGGCAGGTATTTTTGGGCAGGTAGTGCTGTTACCCTTGCAGCATTGGGCAAGGATGGACATGGTGCAGTGGAGGGCCAAAAGAAATAAGGTTTATATATGAAATTAGCTATATTAATGCAGATTTTGGTTGTTTCCTCTGGGAAAAAAAAAAAAAAAGATTAACAGCTGGTCTTTCTTACTCTCAATTTTGACAATTTTCTTGTCCATGATTGTACTGGATTCCTTCCAATGTTCAAATAGTTTAGGGTATCAGGCTGTCTTTAACTTAGATAAACTGGGATCTTCAGTTTGGTTATTGAAAAGGGAAAATACTTATTAAATTAATGGTTGAGTAGGAGCAGTTTTGGGCAAATATCTGGTCTTGAGCACGGCAGGGGGAACAGATGCCTGGTTATGATGAGAAAATAAGTACAGCAAAAGYTGCTCACTGCTGGGATTAGATAACTTGAGCTGAACCTTTTGGTGTGTTTCCCTTAGAGATTTAAGATCCCTAAAGGCAGACTAGGAGTGACCAGGATTGGAGATCTGTCGGCTCAGGACATGAAGAAGATCCCCACGCTGGCCCTGATTGAATTAACAGCTCTCTGTGATATCCTGGGCTTTGAGCTGAAGAGAAACAAAGCGGCAAAACTGAAAACAACAGGTTAGTTGTACCTTTTTTTTTTTATTTTACACTCATCTTCTCATCATCCACTCATCATTTGTGTTTCACATGTTAGAACAGAGAGTCTTTGATAAGAAACCTTGTGACAGGTGTGTTTTCCTTGGTCAGGGCTTTTCCTGGAAGTCACTGGATCATGACATGAAGACCTAGTGAGACATTTATGTCTGCCTGTCCTGTTTAACTGTTCCTCTCCAGTGTCTGCTTACAAAAGTGCCATGTTAGCCTTCAGGGGGGAATATATCACTTACACCTGCATTAAAGGTGACACAGACTTAAAAAGTACTGCTTGTGTTGCAGAGAAAAGACTCTTTGGAGTTCCACTCAACACCCTGTTGGAAAAYGATCAAAAGCTGCTCCCCAACACCAAGGTGCCCCTGCTGCTCCAGGCTGTAAGTTCTCTGCTGGTTTCATTCACACCTCTGAGCCTGTGATAAGGACGGGCTGACTCCTCCTCCTCTGTGTCTGAGAGCTTTCTGTTTGTCCCTTTAACAGCTGCTGTCCTGCTTGGAGAAGAGAGGACTCGAAACAGAGGGCATCCTGAGAGTTTCTGGCTCCCAGACCAGAATCAAGGTATGAGCTCTTCAGCAGTGTTGGAAGGGTCAGGGGTGATCAGGGAGCTTTTGCTGAAGGCAGTGTTTAAATCACCTSAATTGCCTCATCTCCCTTCCCAGTTCAACCAGAAACATCCATTGCTGGGAAACCTGGGAGYGTGTGCTGAGGATCTGCACTCTTTTGACTGCATGCACTGCCCTTCTAGCGCTCAGCGATAAAATTCACCTTGCATTTGCTTGTTAAAAGCCCGTGCTGAATCCCATCTGTTTCCAGAGCCTGGAGCAGAAGCTGGAGAGGGATTTCTACAGCGGCCTGTTCCGCTGGGACGAGGTTCACCAGAACGACGTGTCGGGGCTGCTCAAGAGRTTCATCCGCGAGCTGCCAGCACCGCTGCTCACAGCAGAGTACCTGCCTGCCTTTGCTGCTGTGCAGAGTGAGTCCTTTGGGATGGAGATGGCTCTGGGCAGGGCTGCCCTGCTGCTGCTCTGCTCTGGCTGTGTTGGGAGTGTGTGGATGTTGTGGGAGCTGTGGTCACTGKGCTTGGCTGAATGTCCTGTTGGGTCCTGGCTGAGGACAAACCTTGAGGTTTGTGCCTCACWAGGTGCTTTGGATGTGTTAAGCTGRATGCACAAAMTCTTSGTTCAAAAARTGGGGAATTTAGGTTTTTTTTGCTGCTCTTCAATAGCATCAGAGTTGGTGGTAGGCTAGCTAGTTTCACACACAAACTTTTGACCTTCCACTACACAATGTCCATTCTCAATCCTGCAAGGATAACAGCACTACCTGCCCAAAAATACCTGMCTGACAYAGAGCACAGCTGAGAATTGTGGTCACTGGGGCTCGGTTAATAGCCCATTGTGTAGCAGGGCTGTCCTGGGGTCTTCAGTTATGTGTCATTTGGGGCTGCAAGGTTCCTGCCATGAATTAGGATAAATTGATCAATGGTGACACCCAGATTGAGCTGTGGTAGCTGGCCAGGGCACAGAGTTCTTGGCTTGTCTSCAGCTAAAGGGATGTTCTGCAAGCACCTTTCTTTGAGGTTTGTGCCTCAATAGGTGTTTTGGGTGTGTTAAGCTGAGTGCACAACTTCTTTGTTTAAAAACTGTGGATATTTGGGTTCTTTTGCTGCCTTTCAAGGGCATCAGAGTTTCTGATAGACTGTGGACTCCAAATGAAATAAGCCAGGCTTCTAAAATATGGGTTGTTCCCTTTGTAAGGACRGTATGGGCTTGATTTACTTCTGTGAAACAAGCCCCAGTTCTATATGACAAACAATTCAATAAGTGATCGTCTAGTTCCTTGGGAGATTCCTGTGATTGTTCCATTCCTTGGGGGATTCCTGTGCTCAAAAAGAAGGGTCAGAAGCCTGAATCCTCTGTCCTGTTGTTTCCCTCCCTCTCCAGATATTCCAGACCTGAAGCAAAGATTGCAGGCTCTAAATCTCCTGATCCTGATTCTTCCAGAGCCCAACAGAAACACTCTGAAGGTAACAGCTTGCTTTTSATTTAGCTGGGAAAATGTAGAATCACAGAAGCATTTAGKCTGAAAAAATCCTTWAAATCATTGAGTCCAATCATTSCCCCAGCACCTCCAAGGCCACCACTGGGCCATATCCCCAAGTGCCACAGTTATGTGGCTTTTGAATAGACAMCACCTCTGCCTTGCTGTGCTTTTTATGAGCTGTGGTGGTTTTGTTGCTGCCTTTTTTTTTTTTTTCTCCTGAGCAATTCCAGGTATTAAAGGTAAGGCTGATTTAGCACCCTGCACACTTTATTTGGAGCACTGGAATATATAATTCAGTCAAAGATGATCTGTCATGGCTCTGGTGGAGGTGTGAGATGAAAGAGATAATGCAAAAGGACTTATTTTCCACATCTGGGAATGGCTTTGAGGGGATGCTGAAGGAAAGGGGAGATTCACCTTTAGATTCTGTGATTTTTACAACTGGACTTTGTAAATTACCATTTGCTAAGGAGTAAAAGCTCATCTTCCCACATAGACTGTCTTTCCTGATTCATAAATACTGGATAAACCTTTTTGGTGAGGTTATTTATTGTTACCATAGTATTAAAAACTGGTCACTCTACTCTCAGGCTGGATAAATAGAGATTTGCTCTTGTATATCAGGAAACAAGTGCTAATTAATGATCTCTCCAGCAACTGCCATGGCAGTTTTTGAGCAATACTCATAATGGATGGCATCAATCTCTTCCCCTCTCTTCAGGCCCTACTCGAGTTTCTCAGCAAGGTGGTCTCCAGGGAGAACAACAACAAAATGAACCTGTGGAACGTTTCCACAGTCATGGCCCCAAACCTCTTCATGCACAAGGGGCTGCCCAACAAGATCCCAGAGGGGAAGGAGAAGCAGCTGGCGGAGGGGGCGGCGGACGTGGTGCGGATGATGATCCATTACCAGGATCTGCTCTGGACAGTAGGTTCCCCAGGAATTGTGTGGAATGGTGCAGCAGTGTCTTGGTCTTGTTGGAAATGGGATAGGGGAGGGGACAGCCTTGGAAATTTCTTGGTTGAATTGCAAGACTGCCTAACTTCAAGGTGCACAAATAATTTTTGTCTATTTAAGGAGTTAAAGTGATGATCATCTRCCTAAACTACATCCTCATCTCTGCTTGACTTAATTCCTGTTTTCTCCCTTTTTTTCCTCTGCCCAGGTCTCCTCTTTCYTGGTAGCTCAAGTGAGGAAGCTGAACGAGAGCAGCAGCAAAAGGTACCAGTTCTGTGACAAGAGAATTAAAAATTTGCTGCGRAAGATTCACGCTGACAAAGACAAGGTGGAAAAGAACCAGGGAGAGGTGAGTCAAGGCTTGGGGGAAAAAAAAAAAAACCAACAAGCCATTTTGTGGAAGTGTTAAATGTTTTCCTGAGAACTCTGAAAGGTGTAAGGGGTGATTCCCTTGAAAGAGCAAGAGGGCGAAAAAATTGCAGAATAATGAGGAACAGTTTCCCAGATCTTTTGGCCGGATTGTGGTAAAAACTGATCCCAGCAGCAAGAGCACTAAATACATTTCAGGCTACAAAACACCTGGTTAAAAGCAGGTGAGGAGGGAAGAGACCAGGAGYAGAAATGTTGGTCTTTGCCCCATGTGAAGAGAACAATTCATGTGGCTCTGTCCCACGTGTTGGCACGGACATATCTACTGTGATAAAGRCAGACTTATCTTCATGGACTTAAAGCACAAGTTTAGCAATATTTGTGCAATATTACAGCTATATTTCATCTAATTTTCTTTTTGTTCTATCATGCTGTTGGTCTGCATGGAAGGAGCTGAGGATGAGGTTTTTGCCACCTAAAWGCAGAGAAGTTCCCTGATGAATGATGTGGCTCTGCTCCTTGTATTGGTGCAGACTGAGGTGTTCAAACAGATATTACTGCCAGATCTGAGTATCAAAGCTGGGGAAAGATCCTTGGAGTCATTTTACCTGTTTTGTTTCATTTTTTTTTTCTCAGTTGCCACTGTTAGTTGAATAAACACAGGTGTGTAGGAGCTGGGTTACACCATGCAGGGSTGGATTTGGGGTATCCATGGTGCTGCAGCTGGGATGCTCTCAGGMCATGGGCTGAGATAGAATTTAAAGGTAGAAATAACACACTGGAAGTTGAAATCTGCCTGCCTGCAGAAGAGTCTGTGGTTCTCACAAGCCAGTACATTCCCTGTGTGAGCTGGAATATTGGACACTGTGTTGTTGTCTGCCTAAAACGGGGCTGTTCAGATGGGACATCACTGCTGAAATCATTTCAGAGGGGGCAGCTGCTGCTTAAATAATCAAACAAGTGACCCCATGCTCAGAAAACAGCAGCATTCTGATGATCCCAGTGTTCTGTGCTGGTGCTGCACAGGATTTGGGAAAAAATTATTTACAAAAATACCTCACTGCATGTCAGAACCCTGTGAGTTCTGAAAAGCTACTTTATAGGGAAGCTGATGAAAACAATACTGAAAAAAMCACTTAATTCAGCTCTGTGATGGCTTGGTGTGTCCTTTCTTTGGAAATGACCTTTCTGGGATTCAGTAGCCCACCATCCAGATGTCCAAACTCCTGCCCGAGCAATTTAAATGAATTTCAGAGAATTCATCCGGACTTGTGCAAAACGGCCTGTCAGAATTTTCCTGTGACAAATCCCGTTTCCATCCGAGCTCATGTCAGTGCCGTGTTTGAACAGCAGAGAGCACCAGCAACCACTGATGGAGARCAGAGAGCTCCTCTCGTGGCCACCAAAACATCGATGGTTTATTCACAATGCTCACCTTGGTGCTTCCCACCCGTACTATCTGTGCAAGAAACAAGCCTAAATTCTCTCAGCAGCTGTCTGGATTTGCTTCATTCTTCACACTCTCCAGTCTGCTTTGAAAATTGATGTTTTAACTGATAAAAATCTTTCTTTAAACCATTTTTTTCTTTCTGCCTGCCTCGTTCAGCCTTCCAAGATTGTGAAAGTCCACGCGTCCCTGCTGCTGAAGGACTCTCTGGAGGTGCACCTGAACAATGCCACCAGGGTGGCTGATGTCTTGAGGCAGTTTCAGAAGAACCTGGGCCAGAATGGCTGGAACATCGTTAACACTGTCAACTTCCTCAAGTGGTAAATGGATTTTCCTCTGCCTTAAAAAAAAAAAAAATTAAAAAAATATAAATAGATATACTAAGTGGTCTAACTGCTTAACTGTTTCCTGTCCTGAGGTGGCAGCACAATGAGTTATGAGCAGTTATGTCCTCTGCTCCTCTAAGCTTTGTCAATATTGTGTTGGATGGGAAGGCAGTTTTAGTTCACTGAGTGCTCCCAACCCATGCTTTGGCTGTCAGGAGGTCAGTGGTCCCCTCTGGACACMAAGTGAGCTCCAGCAGCCTTGCTGAAGGGAAGGGAAAGTGTTTTGATCTTGTCAATTAAACCATCACCAGTGTAATTTGCCTGGAGTGGTAATTCCTGTGTGTTTATGTTAATGCGAGGATTTCCTAAAATAAACTCAGCAATTCCCTYCTGTGCTCCCGTGGGGAAWGGCTGAACTAACCCAAAAAAGGAAYAGGAGCATTCCTGTCCCMCTCTGTCACAGTTCCTGCAGGATTTGGTGGCAGTGCCTCTCCTGCCTCTCCCAGGAGGTGTTTGGGCAGGGAGGGTGGAGGGAAATCGGCTGAATGTGATCAGCTGGTGTCTCACAGCTTGGTTTTCTTTTTTTTTTTGCCAGTTTTGGGTGTCCTGCAGTATGCAGGAGGATCAGTAAAATCTCTGTACCACAGCCTATGGCCATTGCTGGCCCTCAAGCCACAAGCAATTACTTTGGAAGAAACGTTACTAAACTACCTGACCTGTCTTTGCAGAAATTTAACTTCAGCCTGTTTTTCTTCCTGCAGTAAYAACTCCATGGAGTGCACAAACTTGCTCCTGTATGAAGTGGGAGGCAATATTGGTAAGTAAAAATGGCAGCTGAAAATAAGGATATCCAGTTTTTATGCTTAGCTTMTTTTAGGAGRCAGTTAAAAACCTCTCTGGGTAACYTGTGCTGGTGYCTTAGRGTGAAGAATTTCYTCCTGATATMTTTTCTCTCAAAGCCATTACCTCAGATTTGTGGAAACTCTTCTGAGTGGTTGTAATATTGAAATGAGTGTGAACAAATCCTAACTTTTAAGGTGGGGACAAAACGAAACAAAAAAAGATTCTTAAAACTGCAGGATTAAGGATATAAAAAAAGTGAGTTTTTTTCCTGAATGTCTTGTTTTAACAGGTGAGCATTGCCTGGACCCTGACACTTACCTCTTGGAYTTGTACCACATCAACCCCCACGCTGAGTGGATAATCAAACAAAACCCATCTTACCCTCGGATGTTCTGAGGAGAACAAGAGCCAAACAAAGCATTTGGTTRCAGTTTTTGGAAGRTGTGGAAAGAGAGACTTTCCTGTTGYRCTGTCAGAGCAGACACCTCYTGTTTSTTTGAAGGAAAAGCACCTTTGTTAACTGCTCCCCTGGCAGTGAGAGCACAGCAGTGMTGACAGGGGTGATGGAAACAAGCAGCAATTACCATTGGGTAGCAGAGTTTGCAGGGGGAATGACTGTTCCTAAACAAAACATCCCCCTAAAGCAAATCCTGAAGGCAAAGCTGCGGTGGCTGTGCAGCAAAGGTGGAACAGAAGGAAAAAAAAAGTCATCTTGAAGATGGTAAAAGGGATTTGTTTGTTSTGGATTTGCTCTTTCTTTTGGAGGAGAGACAGTCAGTTCTGTGGTGTACTAAGGACATTCCCTTTGGTGAGGGTCCATGGTTTTCTGTTGCTCATCACCAGAAGTTGAGACTTTGGGTTTCACCCTAAAGCTCCTGTTATATCCTTTGAAGAATAAAAAAGGATTTTTCCAAAAAGTCCAGATGAGATGTGACATTAACGTCATGTATTTAATGACTGCAGTTAAATACATCTGTGCAACACAAGGAGATAACATTCCTTGGAAAAAGGTATGGAAAACACAGCAGCCTTCCAGGTGTGCAGTGTGACAGGAGAGATGCCTGTCCCATGCCACTCTGCAAACCCAAATTGCCACTGGTGAGGGTAAAACACGCATTTATTTTGCTGGAAAACCTGGATATCAACAAACAATGGAGGAAATATCCTGAAGCAGATGTGAGGTTTGTAATCWGGCCTGGCCACGTGAACTGAACTTCCCTGTGGGAGATTCTGTGTGGATGTGTTTGTTCAAAAGTCAACAAACCTCCCCTGGGATGTGAGGTGGCTGAACTGAGCTGAGCATTTCCATCCCACCCAGCACAGAGTGGGCTGGACAGGTGAGGGTGGAGCAGAAAACTCAAACCTCGCTGCTGCATCATCATCATCATCATCATCATCATCTTCATCATCCAAAAGGACTGATCTTCAGCTCCAAAAGGACTGTGCCTGTGGGACTGGAGTCCAGAATTGTCATTTTCCTTTGTGGTGATGCTGAAATACCTCACGTGAGGGACCCCACTGTGCAGTGCTGGGGATGGAACACTCAGCCTCTCTGGAAATCCCAATATCTTTTCCTAAATCGTGTTTTTAAACGTGGTTGGATATTTATTCATGTGGCAGGAGCAGGGCTGCCCTGCAAGTGCATACTCAAAGTATTTCATTTGCCAAATCCTCGCTGCACTAGTGACAATTTCCAGTATTATTTCTTTTGTTAAAGGAGTTCGTTTCCATCATAATCTGAATTTTCCCTCCTCTCCTTTTTTCCCCTAGGATGATGTGTAGCTTTCTTTATCTCAGACTCCTGGTTTCTGTTGTAAAAGTGTTTCACTCTGTGATTAGTCTGTCTGTGTGGTTAAATCCTCTTGGTGGTTAAGGTTTTTGAGGAACAGGTGAGCCACAGTCCATATTCTTCCCAGCTTGTTGTGAATACTGTGTGAGTGATGCTGATAGCTTAAAATTTTCCATATTTTAGAGAGTCTGTCTGTTCTTTTTGGTTGAGATGATGCAGATGCATTGACTGCTGAGATCACCTTCACAGATGTCTTCACAAAAACCTGTACTAGAACCCCCCAACCCTGGCCCAAATGTCAAGAACTCTTGAGGTGCCTCATTTATAAGGCCTAACAGAGCCTGATTCTTTTCCTGGAGGATGGGTGATTTGTGTCTCTGCAAAGATGGAACTGCTTTAAAAACGGGGCATTAAAAACCAAAGGTACCTGTTCACTCATCCCTTCTGGAATTCTTGGTGGCAGTGACTGAGCAAAGACCCTTTGCAAGCTGAATTGTACCCTACAAATCACACCACGGTGCATATTTTCCCATCCCTCGTATGCTGGTTTATTAAATTTACTGTCCACAGGTATTGAGGGGTCAGGACTGCATCGCTGCTGCTGTCAACTGCAAATGAGTGGGGTTTTTGGAACACCAAACAATGTGAACCAGTGCTGTGAGAAAATAAGGTTGGTGGGAGATTCTCTTGAGACAAATATCAGGTCTCAAATAAAAAAAAAAGAAATGCAAAAAAAAAAAAATCAGCTCTTTCCAGATGATGGATATACATTTTTAATATTTTTTTCTCTATCTTTGTATCAAAAAGTGTAAATTTTTCAGTCACKGATGTGCAACCCACTTCTGACGGCTGGCTTTTAATACCCTTCGTTTTTTACAAATTTTTAATTCTGTATTTAAATTTCATTTATTCRGTGAAGCAATAAAAATACCGTAAAAGCTCTTGGCTCCGTTTTCCTCAATGCTTGAGAACAAGTCAAATTCTCCACATCTGTGGAAGGCAGCAGGATTTTCCTTGTGCCTGGAGAGCAGTGTGTGTGAGTGAGCTGGGCAGGAGGTTTTTTGTTGCAGCTTCAGGAGAGGTTCCTCTTTGGATGATCCTGTGGGATTGCTGTGGGAGGACATCCAGGAGGAGGAAGGGGAGGGTGGTGAGGGTGGTGTGGATGCAAAAAGCTGAGAAAAAGGTGAATGGGAGCTGAAGGTGAGCACCAGCTTGTGAAGAAAGTGAAAGAAGTGACTTGTGAAGGAAGAGGAGCAGTTGTTCAAGATCTAAGCTTGAGGAAATGAGTCCCTAAATCCCCTGGGAAGGGTTTAAAAGCAGTGCWGCAGCCTGGCCGGTGGTGCTGGTGGGAAAGCAGGGCTTGCTCTCCTGCCCAGACACAAAAGGAAAGGGGAGGAGRATCCCAGCGGCTTTAAAAAGCTTCCAGAGCAATTATCTGAGCAAAACACCAGTTTATCAAACTCATTCCACCCATTCATCTTCAGCARTATCAAAGTGCTAATCTCTCCCATCCCCGAGGGCTTTTGTGATTGATCATAACACAGCTCAGAACAGGAGCCCGGGATTTACTCTGAATGCAACTTGAATGCAACTGTTGTGCTGAGATAAGGGGCAGAGCAGAAAAGAATCTTGCAAACGCTGGTTAAACACAGTTGAGGATGAATTGGAACTGAAATATCAAAATAATAATAATTTAAAAGTAGTTTGCCTTAGGAAAAAGTATTTGAAAAAATATTGAGTCTTGAGGATACTGAGGAGAAAGTGAAGCTTCAGCTCTTGGGGGGAAAGGCCCCAACTAAATGCACTTCTTGGATCAAAGTAAGTGACAGCAAATATTGTCGTAAATAAAATACAACTGCATTTGATTAAATCCATTTCTTTACCCTCATGTGCTTCYCAGTGCTGAAAACAAGACAAATGGCATCTGTGGTTTTGCATGCTCATGCTGGAATAATGAAACTTTAAAGTTCCCTCCAAAGCTTGTTTGCCCATGAGGGCTGCACATGTCTTCACCTTGTGGGGGTGGGGGCAATAGAGGATGGAGTTCAGTATTTTAAATCACTGGAAAAGAAAATATTCAACTACACTGACTTACCTGATAGGAAATGGTCTGGGCAGTTCCTAGTTCCCCAGGCTCAGGTTTGTATGGAGCTTTTTTTTTATTGTTGTTTGTAGTGACAAAGGAATTCCTTTTCTCCTCAGCCCTAAGAAGGGAATTTTTAGCGGTGATGTTTTATTTTCTGTACCCCTCTTGGCTGGCTGTACTTCTGTAGCTGGTGAAGTTGCAGGGGCTATTTCCATGGGGATAAAGCAGGAAAAGAAACCCCATAGAAATGGGATGTACCCACAGGGTGGGTTGCTTGTTTTCTTTGTTTTTCAGGGTGTGGAAGAGACACAGATGCACACGAGCTCTGCTGCTCTCTCCTTGCCTATCCCAAGCCTTGCTCTTGGCAGACTGCAGCAGAAACCTGCTTCAGAGGTTCCCTATGAGCCCTCAGTACCGAATACACTTTATTTTGGGGTGTGTGTGTGGATGGCTTCACCCTGAGCACGGGCTGCCTGTGATTTGTGTTGAAACCAAATCTTTCAAGCCTTACCCAGAGTTTTAAACTCCCGAGGAGTGTGGTTTTCCACAACACGCTGGTTTTACCTCCTATTTCAGTTTTCCTTTGTGCCCCATTGGTGGGGAGAAGGTCACTCTTACCTGCCCTGATGATTCTGATTGAGCCTTTTCCGGACACGGGAGCAGCCACAAAGTGCAATAATTGCCTTTTACTTGTAACAAACTGGCAGAGCTGTCTCGGGGTTTCAAGAGAGACAATTACAGATTTTTACATTGTTTTCTTCAAAAGGAGAAACAGACCTGGGGCTTCCCTAATAGCCCTCCTGCTTCACACTCGGAGCGCGTTGTTGTGGGTTGCATTTATTATGAGCCACTTATTATCCCTAATTATTGAGCAGGGGGTAGGTCTCTCGGTAGCAGGCGAAGTTGTGACTTGATGAACACTCAGCTGTCTCTATTTAAGATAAAATTACTGTAATTAACAAATCGATCAACCCTGCTTTCGCTTTGCCTGCCTGGGACAGAACAAATGGGCTAAATGAGCCCWATTTAGCACAAAAGTGAAGAAAGGGATTCGCAGACCTCAGGATACACGGGCTCGGAGCTTTTTTGTCGCACGCCGCTTTTAACGGTAATGTCACATAATTGTCTCTTGTTCGACAATTTTGTCTCGCACAAAAAGCGCCCACGCTGCTCTTTTTCAGCTCGGCACGGCGGGTGAGCAGCCAGGTGGGCTCGGTTTGCTGTAACCTCCCCCTCGAGCAGGGCTGGGCTGGATTCCCTGCCTTGTTTGCAGAATTTGTGTCTTTGAGAGCAAGGCTGATCGCTCAGGTTGTCTTTATTTGGGAAGATGTTGCCTTCTCCATCTGCCCCGCTGCTTTGCTCTCCGAGGGTATCTGTGCTTTCAGCCCCAGGAACCCTCCCAGCTCACTGGTGTGGGAAATAACTTGACCCCAGCTCATCTTCCAGATCTAAATGCTGTCTAGAAAGCATTGGGCTGCAGGAATTTGTACCTCTTGAAGCTTTCGAGATTTTTCTGTGCTCTCTGGCAAGCTCACATCACAAGTGTTGTCAGCTCCTATCCCTGCCTGGCCGCGCCAGGATTGTGT